TCTAATTTTGGGATGATAATTATGGTATTTAATTTTTCTATTTTTTATCTCTTCCAATTACTATTTTTAAGTCACACGTTACTTTAAGGTGCCTATCCAATAATATTTTTATTTTTCTGCCTTTTTTATACACTCCACAAAAAGTAAAAGTTCTTTACACTAATCTAAAACCCATTTATTTTACTGCCTTTTTTATACAATTCACAAAAAGTAAAAGTCTTTACACTAAAACCTTTTTATCTTCCCAACATTTTTATTCATTCAAAACATTAAATATTCTAATTATTTTGCTAAAAAATTTCACCCTTCTCTCTTCCATCATCTTCACCATTGTTTCACTTCCCGTTCTTCACTTTCATCCATCCCTTTCACCATTGTTAATTTTTTCTATTTGATATTTTGATTTCTATGAATAGAACGCCTCGAAAAAGTCATATTTCATATTTTTTGTAGCAATTGTGGTTTGTATATATGTGTATTTGATGAGTATGTGTGTCGAGAAGATATGAACATATCAATGACAGTTTTTTGTTCTGAAAATTTTCAATTGAGATATGGAGCATTACTTTGAAATTACGGAAAGAGGAAAATTGTTATTAATACAGTCAGTGAAAGCGAAGCAACTGAAAATAATCGTCAGTTTTAGAGACAACAACAAAATCTCTAATCGAGTCAATGAGTGTGTTGTTATTATCCTCATAATTGGTTGAAGAAAATTATCCTCATGACAACGATTTTTAGGATGAAATTCTCATTTCTAAAAGATTAAGAGTAAAATCAAAATTTATAGTGTGAGTTTGGTTTATAATAACAATGTGTGTGATTGGTAATATACCATAGTATTATTACGAAAATGTGTTTTCATTACGTCAATTGTCTATGTTCATTGTTGTTTCAAACTATATATTCGAACTTAAGTAGTTGCTACAGATTGAATGTATATTGCTAGTATATAATACCAACGTTTTTGTCACTATATACAACCATTATTATGACAGACTTTTTTGTATTACTATAATGTTATACCAATCTATATTTACGTTTAAAATGTGGGTTAATTATGATTTCAAATCAATTTTTTTTACATTAATTCATTATTACATTGGTTTTTATATGCAGAATACCAAATATCATAATTGAAAATAATTGGTTTTTTTTATCAATATTTGTGCTTGCTCCACCACAAGTATACCAATTGTGTACTTGGTGGTTATGATATACAACCATTATTATTAACATTCTTTAGTATTACTCAACTATTATATCTAATTTTTTTACGTTAATAATGTGCATTAATTCTGATTTCAATTCAAATCAAACTCGTGTTTGTGTATTTAATGCTCGTAATACCAAAATATCATCCACTATATATCCCCAATATGAACAATCTTTGTGATTATTTCACCAAAAATACATCAAATATGTACGTGCTAGCCATTATAACAACCATTATTATTGATTAATATTTTTTAGTATTACTCAAACATTATATCAAAATATTTAACTGAACATTGTGTAATAATTTTGGTTTCAATTACTCTAAGTAGTTGTTGTTCATATTCAATATTTAAGGTTGGTATTTAATACCAACGATATGTCAATTAAATCACCAATAATAAGAATACACTAAGCAAGAGTAACCAAAGTTGGATAAAATTGCATTCATCATTCTTAAAAAATCCTAGAATTTTTGCAAAGAAGCAAAAAAATATTAAGAAAAAAAATTGAAAATAATACATCATTGTTAATTCTGATAAGCAAACTTGGGGCAAGTCCTTTTGTTATGCCCTGATGTACCACATTTACTACAAGTGACTTTACTCCTCTTGTATTTTTCTTCGTTGAATCCCTTCTTACGGTCGTTACTTGGTGGTCTGCCTGGTTGTTTTCTTGTAATTGGTGGTAGCATTACCTCTTCAAAGTTGATTTTTTTTGTGATTTCTACCTGTTTCAGACCAAAATTTATTAGTAGTGCTTCTCGTCAAACAGAATGGTCATTTCAATGTATTCAACTTATATATTATGTTTTAAAGAATGCTTTTTGATGACATGATAATGCTTAACTCAAATATGGTGTTTACACCATCATTATGTACCAAAATAGAATCAACATGTACACCATCATCATCTAAAAAAAATACCAACTCTGAATGACACAAAAAATTATAAGAATTACACCAAAATTGAATCAATACATACACCATTATCATGTACAAAAAAATCAACTCTGAAAGATACCAAAAAAATCAGAAATACACCAAACTAATACAAAACAATAAATTTCACCAAATCACTTACGAAAACACATAATCACTAAATATGATTTTTATTATAGATCCCAAAACCATACAAAACAAACCAAAGAATTAAAAAAAATCATCATCATGTACAAAAAAAAACAAGTCTGAATGACACAAAAAAAATAATCAAAATTACACCAAACTAATTAAAAACAACCCATTTCACCGAATCACTTACCAAAACACATAATCAGTAAAAATAATTTCTATTCTAAACCTCAAAACCATACATAACAAACCAAAGAATTAAAAAAATAAAATCAAAACACGAAATTGATGAATAACAACAACAACCTATTTTTCACCATTAATTAAACGACTCATTATTGAAAAAATTCAATTTTATAAAAGTGATTTTTAACGTATTTTTCCCATTGTAACACAAAAAACCCATATCAAACATGGTATACTACAACAAAATCATAATGATTTTTCAATTAGAAATATCACGTAAAAAAACACAAATTAAATATTGAATTATCAATATTACCTGATGCGTTCCAATCTTTTATGTTGAACTAGAATTGAATAATTGTTGGTATTCATGATTGAACAGTCAACTAGAATGAGTAGAAAGAGAATTTTATTTTTGTTAAGAAACCTTTTATTGATAGGAGAGAATATAAATTACCAATTTGAGTAAATCATGGAAGGTAAAAGATTTAAGAAAAAAGGAAAAAGTAGAAATCGTGGAGCACTATTAGACGTTTTTTTTAATATTATATATTTTATTAATATTAAAACCTAACTTTGAAAAAAAACTATTGTTATGTAGGCGGAAAAAAAACTATTGCTATATAGTGGTAATTAAAGTAATTAATTTGTATATTTAAGTTTTTTCCCCTGTATATGTATATATATAAGTAGATATTTAAACTGTTATAAAATTGAACAAAGAGACACATACATTATATATGATAAATCTCATGTGATTTGTCATATGCATCTAATGTGAGACATTGTGTCTATTTGTTCAATTACATATTTTGTTCACTCAAAATTGAAGAACATAAATATCAACTAAAACCTAGTTATATAACACATTTATATATTACTCCTATGTCTTTTCATTAATTTTTTCTTTTAATTTCCTATCTGGTGTTTAATACCTCTATTAGGATACAATTATTTTATATTTGGATTAGTTTCATTCAAACTCAAGATATTTAATTAAAAGAATAGTAACCTTATCTGCCGCCGCTCCACATCATTTATCCGCAGTCTTTTCGTTAACAAATCAATCATTTTTATTTGTGTTAATCCAAATCCAAAACACGTATAAGTGAGTCCCAACAATTTTCTTGATGACACAAAAACGTCACGCAACAAAACACTACTCACTCCGTCTCATTTTATATGATTTACATTTTTTTAGTTTGTTCTAATCTTTTTAAATATATTTCTACATTTAATAATAATTTAATTGTAAAATGATTAATTTGTATTTAATAAAATAATTTTTAGCCACACAAATATCTAAAATTCATTTAAAAAAATATTTTTTCTTAAATTTTGATTTTCATATCAGGTTAAACTAACTCATATAAATTGAAACGATACGGTAAAAAGAACAATTGTTCTCACTTGATAAACCCCAAATAAGGAAACACTAAACAATAAAAAAAGATGTCATCAATGATCAAATTCCCATCTTCCATGTTTTGTGTCTATTCATCTTCTTCTTCTTCAATCAAATCATCAATTTTTCCAAAATCCATCTCTTTTCCCTCTAGCCATTTTAATAATTTCAAGAACCCTTTTTTGAACTGTAAAACTCCAATGGAAAATCAGAGTTTTTCAGTGTTATCTGCTTCTAAAGCTCAAAATGGAGGTGTAATTCAAGATTCTTCTTTTCAGGTTAATTTCATCAAACCCCTTGTGTATAATCGTTGATTAGTTGTTGTTAATTATGGTATAATCTCATTACTATGTAGGATTTTATGGATTTTTTATGTGGTGTACTGGCTCATCTTATGATTAAAAAAAAGGTTTATTTTTGTATAGTTTCATCTAGTAGCTGTTAAAAAGGAACAATCTTTTTGTTTATTTTAGCCTTTTAGGTTTGTAATAAGTTTTTGTTTTTAACCCCAATTGCTCCTGCATTTTTGCTCCCTTGATGACTATTTATAACCTTAGCGTTGGAGATCGAGGGTACTTACCATTCGAGCAATACTTGTGGTCTTTAGGTCTGTAATATGTTGCTTAATTGAGGACCCAATTCTTTTTGTGGGCCAATACTTTGGAAATATTTATATTGATATGGTTGTAGGGTATAATACAACAACATATTTGATGTAGTCCCACGAGTAGGGTCTAGGGAGGGTAGTGTGTACGCATAGCTTACCCCTATTTTGGAGGTAGTGAGGTCATTTCCGAGAGACCCTCGAACTCAAGAGAATTGGTTGTATGACACAATGAAAGGAAAAAAAAATGATATACTAGTTGAGAATAGGTTTTAGATTTGTTAGAGAACTTCAAATATTATTATTATGATGATTATATGAAATGAGCTTAAATGAAGAAGTGGGACTGATATAGCTGACCCCGACTTGTTTGGGGCTGAGGTGTAATTGTTGTCGTCGTGTCCCGGTTGTAAGACCGGAATCTCAGTTTGCTCCAACACCATGTTGAATGAATTAGTTATTTTGAGCTTGCAACACTACTTTCATCTTCTATTAGGATTTAGTTTTTTCTTTTTTGAGTGGTGTTGATTGACTAAATTTTTTGGATTTGAGTATTCAGGGAAGTGAATCATTCTTCAGGAGTGTATTGGGGAACATGGAAGCCATATATCTGAATAAAAACCCCATTGCTAAGGCTATTTTGGAGCTCGTTCGTTCTGCTGATGGTGATCAGATTTGCTATGATCATTTTGCATTTAGGACATTTGGGGTACCGTTGTTCTTCTTTAATGCAAAATTTGAGATGGAGATCTGGAAAAACTTTGTTTATGTGAGCATACTAATAACTACATTTTTTTGTGGTGCTGATCACTGCAGGTAAATGGTCATGGCATTGATTCTATGTCAAAGTTCTTCTTGGATTTTGGTTACGAACGACGAGAAGAGTTGAGATTCCCTGCTAAGAAGTTGAAAGCTTTCTGGTTTTCTCCTCCGAAGGTTTCAACTTCCAGTCATGGGAGTGGGGTTAACGGGCCATTGCCAAGAATATTTATATCCGAACTTCTTGTCGATCAGCTTAGTCCAGAAGCTCAGGTTTTTCATCAGCTAGTTGCTTTACATAGTTTTTTGTATGCTTTTAACTGAATAATTTCTGGTCTAATGAATGAATTTCACATTTCAAAAGTTCAGGTTTTTTTTTGTATGATATTTCTTCGAAATTTTATACCTCGTTTGCTTTTCAAGTGTCTATTTATTTAGATATTGAACTTTAATCAGATATATTAGATTAAAATAAGACCAAGAAAGGGATATAGTTCAAAAAGTTTTGTAATTGTACTGATTTTAGTAGTCCTGATATCGCTGCAAGGCACCTTGATGATAGCTTTTGCAGTCGAGGTATTGCTTTTACTTGGTACCTGACTTGCTTTAACTGTTCTTGAATATGTTCCGAATTCAAATTTGATATATTTGGCATAGTGCGACATTTCAGTTCTTCAAAGTCACAACCTCTCAGAAGTAGAGAAAGAAATTTCATGTTTATCCTAGCTAACTTCTATTTTTCTCCAGTGAAGGTCACTTCTATATAATCTCATAGATGGTCAACTTTTTAGTTACACGGATACACATTTTTTTTCTTGTAGGAAATAATCAAAAAGTACACTAACATTTCGCACTGCGGAAAAGAGTATGCTGCACTTGCAAGTGCATTCGGGATTTTGACATGGGAAAAACCCTCGTATTCGGAATTTCAACAACTGGCTAGGTACTGGGCATTTTCCTCCACGTTTTAATTTCATGACGTATTTTATATCTCCTGCGCTAGCTCGTAGATCAAATTGAATAGTAATATTTCAATAGATTGTAGCTTACTGGTGTCATTTAGAGAGCGGGAATGATATTATACATCTCTAGCAGAATTCATACTATTTTACTTTTTTACAACCAACTGAACTATTCCGACACTAATTAATGAGCAGCATTGTCAAATTAACTATTGTTATTTCCGTGGTGATTGTTGAAATTGCCAGGGAGAGTGAGTATGCTGCCTGGACACTTGTCAATGGATATGCATTGAATCATGTTACCATATCTACCCATCGGTTGGCATCAAATCTGAGAAGCATCGGAAATCTAAATCAATTTATCGAAGAAAATGGTTTCAATTTGAACTCTGAAGGGGGTATTCTAAAGGGTTAGTATAAAGTAACTTTATGTATTACTCCTCTTTCCTTTTTTTTGGTAACTCTTTAATTTTAACTTCTCATTTGACACATTTTGCATATCTTTAGTTTAAGACCACAAGGTTCAAAAGTTTTCTTTACTTTTCTTAAACTCCGTGGTAAGTCAAAACCAGGCAAACAAATTGAATCTGAGAGAGTAGTAATATTGCACACTTAATTGTAGCTGCATCATATCATATATAATGTACTTTAAAGTACACTATTTATTTGCTTGCTTTTTGACTTAATCTGTTCTCAGTAAGTTCAGCGTTTATCAGTCCTGCAACCGTTCTGAAACCAAAATCTTGTAAACTCTTTTTATTAATACCTGTTAGTTCACCAGAAGTAAAAGGTTTTTCCCTGCCTGCAACTCCCCACTTACTGATTTTCTTCTTCCCAATATGTGCACCTGAATAAGTGTAAATTAGTACGTTGAAATAGGAAGATTACAGCTCTCGCTTTAATAAAACATTATGCTGTGATCTTCAAATTTTTGGAAACTAGACTAAGATGTTAGTCGATAAGGGATCTAAAGGACAAATCTTGGTGTATCTGTTTGGTACTTCAATGAATGAAATCCAGGTTGAAGAGCTTTTTGGTGCTGTGTTCTGTTACTTCTTTTTGCCTCAGAAAGTTAATGCTCATCATATTCAACTCAGAAAGTTATTGCTCATCATATTTTTGAATATTTGGAACATGTATTGACGTCATATAATTCATTTTCGTCAGAGGGAATCTTTTGATTTTGAGATCTTGTTCTTTTAAGAGATAACTGTTCTTTTTTAAATGGTCTCCGGATATTGCAAAGAAGTTTTGATTTTTTCTCTCTCTCTCCAGTGAGCCCTGATGGTCTTTTGCTGCAAAGTTCAACTGTAGCAGATTCTACCTCTTTCGAATTTTCAGATGGCACTACAGAAGCAGTACCTTGTTCATACATTGAATTTGCTGAGCGACTTGTACTACCGCAATATAAAGATTTACCCACAGAAAAGGTTAGTTCTAATTATCCCTCAATTTTCTTGCATATTTCTCTGCAGTAAAAGCAATAAATCGATAACATGGACTTGGTTCGTCCAACACCTGTTTATAACCATAGACGAGAATAAAAATATGTGTCGTCGCCGTTTCATGTACCCTTTATGGCTGTTCAAATACTTATATGGCTATGTAATTGAATACAATGCTACTTATTCTTAAGCTTTAAAATGGAAACCATTTGTCTGTTGAGTTGAAAAACTAAAAAAGACATCATGTTTTGTGATTGGATTGGAACACATGCTTATTGTAATATCCTAATTCGAAGTGGTCTCGAGGTTTTGGCTCTATGCTTGGGGCTTAACTAAATTCTCAGTGTTGCATTTTGCATAGTATAAATCCATTTGTTCTACTTTCAACCATATGGGATTATTATACGATTTTATGCTTCTTTCAATCGTAAGGTAACATTAAAAGATGCAGCTTGAACGTAAACTAGACTTTTTGCACTTTGATGAAGCGCCTCTTTGATCAACTATATTTTGATACATCTTTTAGGTGGAGGAGTTTCATAGGCGGGACGGATTTGAAGTTGGAAATGCTGACAAGATATTTGAGAGTACATCCAAGGATCAGTTAACCCGTCGTGCAGCTTGAGAGTAAGCGCTAAGCAGTTGGACGTTTCGACTGTGTGAAGCTAATTTCTTGGCATATTCAACTGGATGACTACTCCTAGATTAACTGTTGGAAGAAGATGATATTGTAGCTCTGAAAGTATTGTTATCTGTAACTATCACAAATTTCCTCTTGGCATATACACCTGAAATGTCAAGAAATTAGTTTGGATGATAAGTAGATAGATGGACTAATTAAACACCAATATTGATGTAGTCAGAGCAAAAATAAAGTTGTCAATGCAATCCATCTTATGATTTTCTCTTGACAAATTCTAATGACAAGTGTAAGGTCCTTCACCCTTAGATCAAAAACACCACCACCAAAAGTTTTGGTGTTCGAAGCATCTCGTGTTTATATCGAATTTAAGATTCTAAGTGTCACATCCTAAGGGGTTCTTAACACAACAATTAATGGTTGATTTCACGGTTTAAATTTTAAACCACGATCTATTGATCATACAAAGATAGCTTTACTGTTAGCATCAAAATTACCCTTCATTTTTTCCAATCACTAACAGAAACTGAAGACTTTCTTTGGTAGTGATTATATGCTTAAAGGGGGAAAAAGAATAGTATAGAGTATAACAGACTATACTGCATATATCGTTTCTGTTGGACAAATCTGACCATTTATCAAGAACAGACTATATAATTATTTGGTAAATGACCCTCTTTTTATTTCTCTTAAAACTTATGGACCTTTAAAATCGCGATCTTCTTTTGAGACAATGTTAAAACGACAATTTAAAATTTTGTAAATAAGTCATCCCAAACATATAACAACACTCTTTAACATTTATCAACAAGGTTGACAAATATATGAGCAGACATTAAACCCGAATTTAAAATATAATTTTCCGACCACTATATTTGCACAACTAAAAAGAGGATCAAGATCAAAATATAGGCCGAAAATAGGAATATTTGCGAAAATTAGCTGAGGGAGAGGTACATTCGACACAATATTTACTCCATGGACTTGAGCTCCGCTTACAATACATTCTTTTCAAGTGGGAGTTCAGCATTTTCAAAGATCACAACTTAAGTTAATTGTGCACTCCTTCCCTTTTGCCAGTTCATCCAACGACAAAACGGGAGGTGGCCAACAAAATATATTCATAGCTGGAGAGAAAACGAAAAGAATGGTAGAAACAGATTACTTGTCAATCCAATAATACTAAGTTTTGCCGTTTGGTTTTGGTGAGTTCTGAGGAAACTGCTGATGGTATGGAGAAGCATGAGAACCATTTGGGATTGAAAGACTTCTAGGATGTTGTTGTCCATTCCTCGAAAACGATCCCTGTGTTCTAACGCCATTTTTGGTACTTGGACTTGATCCAACTCGGTCTGCTTGCATTGTCTGGAAATAGTAGGATGAGCTGGCCATGTCTTTAAGATTTGGTAATGGCTTCAAGGCTTCAACCACGTCACTCATCATCGGCCTAGCTTTGGGATCACGACTAAGGCAACGAGCAGCCAACTGTGCAGCTTTCTGAGCACCTTTTATTGAAAAATGGCCTTCAAGTCTAGGATCTACCAATCTGTAAAACCTTCTTCTTTCACCAAGATGAGGTCGTGCCCATTCAACAAGGTTGTGTTCCCCATTTGGTCGGTTCTTGTCCATCGATCTCCTACCAGTTATCATTTCAAGTAGAACTACACCAAAACTGTAGACGTCACTCTTTGACGTTAGATGCCCTGGCACAAATGAGTAGGACAAATTACAATCAGTAAGAGAGGTACTTACCAGCCATCCTATGAAAGTTTTAGTCAACAAACATCAAACATATTGAAAATTCTTCAACTGTGACTCAGGTTGTGGAGTTGTACAGAAAGGTATTCAAAGCAAGTTTGGTGTTTTGAGCAGAATAGTCTCCAACTAGATTAGACTTAAAGTGCCACATAATATTGATAAACTGGAGTCAACAATAAGGGTAACTATTGTAGGAATTATGAGATCTCAGCCCTACCTGTCATCACATACTCAGGGGCTGCATAACCATACGTTCCCATGACACGAGTGGAAACATGTGTTTTATCACCCTCAGGACCATCTTTGGCAAGGCCAAAATCAGAAAGTTTGGCATTGTAATCCTGAGAGAAGAGTATTTAGAAAAAAAAAACTCAAAGAGGAAAGGTCTTTCTTTTTTCCAATGTATTGAAACATACCGCGTCTAGTAGAATGTTGGAGGTTTTGAAATCACGGTATATTACTGGTCTTTCTGCTTCCTCATGAAGAAAAGCAAGACCTTTTGCAGCACCCACAGCAATCTTCATGCGGATAGACCAAGGAAGAGGCATGGATCCTGCACATAAAAGCTTTATTAGCAGAGAATATGATGAACATAAAGATTTTCAGCAGAAATTACAATATATTAACATAATGATTTGCACTAAAATTTCAGACGAGTAGGCACTATCACTAAACTTATTCAGACAGCATTCTTAAGGGGGAGAAAGGAAAATTATAGAAGTCTTCATATTTTGGTTATTCTACTGAGCACGGAAAAAGAGAAACCAGGAAATAAAAGTATGCTATCATTTATCTTCACCATGAAACACCATCCCCACCCCACAATTTCACTTTCATCTTTCCAGCCCATGGCTACATGCATTATGTATTGTGTGTAGTAGAGAATCTGGATGCCTGGGGTCAGGGACGAGCTCAAAGTATTACAATCTCCCAAAAAACAGAAGTTGAACCTGAAGTTTGGAGCTCAGTTATATACAACAAACATCATCACTTATCAAGATTATCACTTAGAAGTGAAACATATTTCAAAGGAGGAACCTCTAGTACGTCTCACTATTTAAGCATTATTTGTACTTGGTTTGCAGGCAGTTGATACTCTAAAGAACCACATTTGACTTGATACACCATTGAAATGTTTTAAAGAGAAAAACCAAAACAAGAGAACGAGCAGCACAATCACTCAAACCACTGCAGGATCCTTCTAAACCACTGAGTCTGCAAGGCCTCAATCATATCTAGCATGGTATCTACTTCATTTACAATGGCCATGTTGCACCAAAAAGCTAGCAAAGATATACAATTTTGTTTAACACTATGTATGTTGCTATGTTTGCTTTCAAAAATTATATTGTTTTTTCCCATCCAAAAATTGCCTAAGTGACGATTGGGATAGTATTCCAAAGCTTTTGAGTCTCTTCCTATTTAGACCAGCTATAAGAAATCCAAAACTGAGTGAGGCATTGCCCATGACATGTCTAAAATGGCAAAAAGCATGCTTCAAATCCAATAAGTGACCTCACATAAAGTGCTACATGTAAATCCCAGTAAAAGATTTCTCTACCATTTTATGGGACGAAATTCTAGAAAACGATGAAAAATCTTCAATCAAGCTTCTTTATCCTACTAAATCAACCGAGACATATTCTTCTTCCTGTCTCGAAAAAGTGGTAACTAAACCTACCAAATGTAATGTAGGACTAACAGAAATGATAAGTTCCAGAAGCAAATAACAAAGGAAAACTATAAAGTTTCTTCCTTAAATCATATATCCTGCATGGCTTTAATCTGGTCCTTGAGCTGCCCATGGCTTTAATCTGGCATTAACATGTGCAAGAAAATCTAACAACCCAACTAACACTTCTATGTAATCCTGCATCACTTCAATCTGGGAATAAACAATGAGCAATGATCTGATTATACATCAATGGTTGCCTTGCTAATGGGGATATCCCATTTACCATTTTATTTTCAAAATTTACAAGCCTTAGTTACATTACATCATAGTAAATCTTCTATTAAAAAAACAGATTTATCGCATGCTACAATAGCTTTAGAGCTTACAGAGAATCCAAGTTCTATTCCACAGGAAGAGACCTTATGGAACTAAAGCAACGCTAACACATGATACCAGCAATATGCATGTTAATAGTTGGTGTTTCCACTTACTCTTGCAAGATTAGCTAGTGTATTCATAAAATGCTCAATAATATGGACAAAACATATTACTCGAAGATCCACTAACAATGTTTTTTCCTTTTTCAAAGATTGATCAGAAGCAAATATATTCAAGAATACAAAAATGAAGAGTCGGTTACATACTCCTGAACAGATGATTTTCCAAGCTTCCTCGAGGCATAAATTCATAAACTAACAGTCTCTGATCATCTTCAATGCAGTAACCAATCAGTTTAACCAAATTAGGGTGAACAAGATCACCCAGGAAATTCACTTCAGCCTGCCAAATGGACAACACTTAATACAAAACCAAAAATGAAAGTAAAAAGAAAAAGAATATAAATACAGTTAAGGTTTAATAAATAAAAGAAGAGAGCTGCAAACCAGCCATTCTTTGTGACCCTGAAGTCCATCATGATTTAGTGTTTTCACAGCAACAGTAAGCCCTGTCCCTGGTTTAACAGGTGCTGTGCCATTCTCTTCGATCCACCCCTTGAAGACACATCCGAAACCCCCTTCACCAAGAAGGGACTCTGGTCTGAAGTTTCTTGTTGCCAACTTCAAATCGTTAAATGCAAACTTTCGAAGCCGAGAAGAAACTTTAAGCTCCTCTTCAAGTTTGGAGGTGGATGAATTACTTTCCGCATTGCTGGTAGTTGTAGATGAGATAATTGGTGCAACAGGTTGGTCTCTGCTTGTGTTCGTAGATTTACTTTCTGATAAAGCAATGCAAGAAGTTAGAACATAGGTAGATTTATCTTAAATGAAAAGATAAGAAGTTATAACTGGTTTTTCCTAAAACAAAGTGTTTAAACAGGGCAAAAATTCAACAGCTTTTCTTCTAATAGCTTATTGCTTTTTTCTGTTACTTATTTCTGAGTTTCAATTAGATAGCAATTGTGATAGTTTTGCTATGCCGTTGCATAACTCATCCTTGGTGATTAATAAAATGTTAGTTACAAAAAGAAAAGGGTTTAAATAACTACAAGCAAAATGCATACACGATGCTAGTATTGGCATAATAAGAGCTACAAGTTCACAAGTATTCCAGCAGAAAATAAGTCCACAAGGTCATCAATTATTTATCGATATGTTATCGTCATGTCAAGAGAGCTATGACTTCAACTGCATAGTTATTTTGTAAAAATATTTAGTTGATTCTCCTATCAATTATAGATAGTTCGTGTGATTAAAAAAAAGGACATTGAACCTAACTCAACCTTAAAAGCTAGCTCAATCGGTGAATATTATATAAGACCATACAAAAAGACAACAACCCCCTAATGCCAAGAACTGGACTTTGTAGCATGGACATAACATGGGTGCCCAACATTGGAAAAAC